TGTACCACAGTGATGTCTGGGAAACAGGTTACAAGTTCTTGCGGAAGCTCTATATTATGAGTGGTGGGAATAAGCCACTGAAGGAGCATCAGGAACCACCAATCTTCCAAATGGGTCCAGGCCTGAGGTCGGGTTGACATCCCCTTTCCTTGCAGGCAGTGGTTGGGGAAGTGATGAAGTAGGTTTTGGCACCCTCCCTTTTGGGGGATGATAAGGGAGAATGGCCCCACTGAACTTTGCCACAGGGGAGAGCAAGGAGAAGCACTGGAAGGGAGATGACTGATTCTTGTCCTGAGTCCCAGGCCCTGAAGCTCTAGCATTGAGGATCTACTCCGGGGAAAGTGTGGGGCTGTCCACTGGGACCTATCTTGTGCCTATATCAGAGGGTAAAGGAAAACTGTTTTTCTACTCAAAACATTTCTGACACCAAATGTATGGGTTTTTTCTCCAATTCAATAATTCTGACACTAGCTACTTAGAGTTAGCTCAGACCCCACAGGTTAAGGGCTCAGCCCCACTTCAAACACCAGTCACAAGTGGTGGGTCCCCAGGTTTCCCACACTTGACTACAAATTGGGGCTTGCCATGACCCCCTCCTAATTTGCTATGATGGCTCACAGAACCCAGGGAAAAACCTTATTTACTATTACCAGTATATTATAAAGGCTATAATAAAGGATACAAATGAACATCCGGATGAAGAAATATATAGGGTGAGGTCAGGAAAGGTCATGAGCACAGGAGCTTCTGTCCCTGTGGAACTTGGGGCGAGCCACCCTCCCGGCACGTGAATGCAGTCTTGTTCACCAACCCAAAAACTCCCCAAACCCCTTCATTTAGGGTTTTTATAGAGGTTCCATTACATAGCATGATTGATAAAATCATTGACCATTGGTGATTAACTCAACCCCCAGGTCCTTTCCCCTCCCCAGAGGTGGGGGGCATGGGGCTGAAAGTTCTAACCCTCTAATCATGGGCTTGGTTCATCTGGCAACCAGCTGCCATCCTCCAAGAGTCTCCTCAGTGGCATAAACTCAGGGATGGTTAAAAGGGGCTGATGATAAATAAAATAGATGCTCCTCTCACCTCTATCACTCAGGAAATTCCAAGGCTTTCTGTGTCTGAAACAGAGGACAACAACCAAACACATAGTTCTTATTGTCTCACAAGATCACAGGGGGTCGATAAGGTTTCCTCACTTTGGGGAAGAAGTCAGAACGCTTCACCTAGAGATTCAAGTGGGAATGACTGGGATCTGACAGAGAGGGACAGGATTGCTTTGTGTGAGGACATAAAGGCTCCACTTATGCTTGAAACTGAGATAATAGAAAATTTAGTGGGACAGAGGCCGGCCCGGTGGCCGAGTGGTTAAGTTCGCACTCCGCTTCCGCAGCCCAGGGTCTCACCACTTCACATCCTGGGTACAGTCATGGTACCACTCATCAGGCCATGCTGAGGCGGCGCCTACATGCCACAACCAGAAGGACCTACGACTACAATATACACCTACATACTGGGGGGCTTTGGGGAGAAAAAGAAGAAGAAGAAGAAGAAGAAAAAAAAGAAAGATTGGCAACAGATGTTAGCTCAAGTGCCTATCTTTAAAAAAACAAAAAACTGATCACTCTTAAAAAAAAAAAAAGAAAAGAATGGAAATTCAATGGGACAGTCTCAAGCCAAGTTGGGGTAAGGGATTTCATTGACACTGGGAGAGCTGATCGCTGCTGGACTAAAATAGGAACGTTGTCATGGACCCAGATGTCACCCTCAGACACACACAGGCCTTGGAGCTGAACAGTCACAACAGCATTTCCAGCCAAGACACCGACCCCAGAAAGCAATGTGGCAGCCGACGACAGGGTGGCCATCGTATACTGAAATTCTTCAGTAATAGATTTTCTGAAGCAGACACATTTCAGATTTCAAAGGACAAAAATAAAGCAGTTTAGTGACAAGTTTGATGTCCTTTATTCAAGGGAAAACAATACATAGGTTGGGGGAGTCCAGTGCCTCACAAGCAGGGGAGCACTGCTCCTGAGGGATTTGGGGCAAGAGCACATTCTATAAAGGCTGGAAGAGGCAATACGGAAACAGGGCATGAGTGGCCAGGGGGTCAGGGATTTCCTTGGAAGGCCCTATAAGGTCCTGTTTTCTAGGGTAAGCTGAGCCCGCTAAAGCTGAGTTGGGGGATTATGATGGGTCTATGCTAGGATTCCTTGACGAGTGTTTCCCGTAAGTGCAGGCTGACTTAGTTTTAGATTTGTGACACAGGCCAGGCCACTGAGGTGGCCTCCATTTTGTGGGTCCCGATATACAAGTTAACTTTACCACAGGGTCTGAGGAATGTTCACTGAGGTACATTACAGAGGCTGGACTGCTGCAAATTGCCTTAATAACTCCTTAAACTCTGTTCTGGAACTAGACACTCTACTTATATCTCAGTCAATATTTTTGTACTTATAGGGCGAAAAACACCAAGCCTTGAGATGGTACATTGTGACCACCAAGCTTTCAGATGGGGGAGCTGTTTTTCCCTCATGGGGCTGACCAGTATTCCTGCGAATGGTTCTGGAGCCCTATAAGTGTGATATTGCTCTTTTAAGCTATCTTAGTTTCTTAATATCACAGGATTTAACATGTCAGACCTCGTCATAAAGGAAAGAGTTTGTATTGCATTTGCCAAGTCCTCTTTGTTGAGTAATTTAACTCATTAGCCAAAGGATTAAAGTCCATGTTTATTCTTCAATATAATACACATATGACAGTTATACATCTTTATAAGGCAAAGAAATACAACTGAATGAAACTATGATCAGAAATTTAAAAAATACCTGAATATGCAATCACATTATGAAGATATCTTTATTTCTTATCTACACTGATAAACTTTATCCAAAGGACGCACTGACATCTACCAGCTGGGACAACTACAAAATACATGGAAGTCAAAATATGCATGCTCAGGTCTCAGCTGTTTTCTGGTTTTTTGAATAAATAGTAGTTGAGTTATAAGCCTTCATGGAAGGTGACACTGCCCATATAAAGACCCCTTATGGAAAACGCACCTGACTAAGTGGAGCTAGGAGAAAAATACAGCACTTCTAACATGAGAAACTGTAGGAAATTTCGTGCTATGCAAGGAAGTCATCCTAATCCAGGAATTCAACATCCAATAAGTCCAGCGTCAAGTTTCCTTTAGGACAGAAAGCAATTTGCCTTTTGGAAATATAATTTTCACCTCCAAGAGGTTTTCGGCAAACATTGTGATGGATAAAAAGATGAACTTTGATTCTAACTTAAGAAAAACAGAAAGAAGTGAAAAAATAAAAAATACAGGACAAAAGCAAGGTAGGGAGCACCATGGCCCTTGAGAAGTGAGCCCCAGCAGTGCTGTGCCCTATGCCCATGACGGAATTGCTAGGGACGGAGAGCGGAACTGAGGCCACTGACCACATCGCTGAGGGGCCCTCCTCTCCCTCTCGTTACACTTACACAAATAAATTTTCCAAATGAGACTCCCTCAACTGGTCTGCAGTCCAAACTGAACAAGGACATGTATGAGACTGGCTGGCACCCCTGTCTAATGGCTGGAGCAGGGGTGGTGGGAGCAGAAGGGGCAAAAAGGAATGAAATAAAGAGGAAGACTCTCATTTCCCTAATATTAACCCACATTTTAATTCTAAAACAAGAAAAAATTTTGCTATACTAATATCTATAAAAATGGAGAAAATATAAGTTCTCACATCTTTCAAGACACATTCACATCAAAGTATGACATGACAATGACAGCATGCCTATTTACATTTTGAGGAAAGAAGGTAAAATAATATCAAGTCAGACAAAAAGCAACTAAAAACAAACCTACAGGACTCAACAGACATGAGAGTTACCCAATTTCAACCTGGAAATCTTTTCCCCAAGTTACTCAGGTGAGAATCCATTCCAGAGGTTTTCATGCCACAAACTGGGGTGTGGGTCCTATCTTCCTTGATTTTTAAATAGCAACAAATTCTGGCTAAGTGTTGGTATCTTACAAATTACAAATGTGGGCGTGCTTTTCCCTTAATAGTTCATGAGGTTTATTCCTCTCCAGGCAGTAAAAGGACCCCATCAGTGCTTAATTTCCTCCACTTACTAAAAAAATGGCAACTGCCTAATGTGAGTGAGTGAAGCCATAACTTCCATTAAGAGGGTGGAGGAGAAATACAGGCTCTCAAATCCTAATGACTTCTTGGAAAAATTGATCACAATAGCCCTAGTCTAGCCAGACTCAGCTTCTCTGGGTCCATGCTCACATCTGGTTTGATTCCCTCGCTTTGCAAAGCCCTCTTTTCCCATCAGAGCAGCAATCGACCAAGTTATGGGCTTCTGCTGGAGCAGCCACACATTGGCGAGGAGAGAGGAGACAGGATGAGTAGGAGACAAATTCTCCCATTTCACCATAACTCTAGACTGCAATAATCAACTCTGCAAGGCAAACTATCCCCAACTCTCATATAAAAGGCACCCCACTGGCCTGGGGATGCTTCCCCAATCCAAATGTGGAAATTTAACTACAAATTCAAAGGAGATCCATTTTTAAAGTAGAGTCTCCTTTCTAAACCTCTAAAAGAAAAAACAAACCACACCCACTAACTGCAGGGTCATCAGTGGATTAATTTGGCAAAGAAATCATTCCTTCATTTGGCCTACGCTGTCCCTTCTATGTGTGGCCGGGCCTGGGGAAAGTTTATTTGCCAACGTGAGTCAAAGCTAGATGCACACTGCACATGTGAAAGACCTCCTGCTCAATCTGATAGAGAATCTACACCACAGGACAGAACACGCCCTTCCACGAGGGGTTTCAAATCAAACCCTTGTGTCCTATTTAGCATCTGAGTGAATGCCAGCTCTCTGTGGTCTGAGTAGTATTAATGCATGCACTGGCTTGTATTTTTCTAGACTCGATGAATACCATCAGCTAAAGATAGCACAGTAATATGACACTGCAGTCACAGGGCTTTTTTTTTTTTTTTTTTAAGAAAACTAAATTAAACATTTTAAGCATAGTCACATAACAGGAACAGGAGAAACCAACCTTGGGTAAATGCATAGGCCAAAGGAAAAAAGAAATGCATGACAGTGTAAGCGCAAATGCTAGAAAGGAGTCAGTCTTACAGCTGGCATGACCACTAAGCTGGCATGTGGCCTTCACTACATTACACATTTTCTTCTGTTGCTACTCCTCCTTTACCTTACCCAGAGAATAAGGATGTTGCACATATAGTTATGTGTGGCCATGCTGCAAGGAGTCACTAAGTGGATGTGAGAAATAATGGAGAAAAGCCAGTGCAAATCAAATCTGCCTTCACTCATACAGCCACCACGTTATTCTTACCCCATATCATCACCATTATGACAACCAGAGCCCAAAATAGACATTATCATAAGCTGATCTCAACACAATGGTTATTTGGAAATGGAAAATGAAGGAGAGCTTAAGAAGCTGAATGATGAGCTTGGATGTGTACCAGGAGTTAAGCGTGGCTTTGCCTTGTCTCTTCTTAAAGAAATGGCGCGGCTGTTTCGCTCTTTGGAGTCCCTGTACCCTTCTGTGCTGTATACAGTAGGGCTCCCTTTGCTTATTAAACAGCTGTGAGGAGATGGCACACGACCTCAGGAACAAGAAGGAACTTCCAACTGGAAATCTTTCTCGTGTAGAAAAAGTGAGCAGAGGTGCTCCCCTTGTCTTCGGCTTCTGAATGCCCTTTCTTCACAGCCAGGAGCCACATGAGACTCTGCGGAGCTGAGATCACTCGTCTTCACAAAAGTTTGAGTTTACCCAGAAACTTGAGTGCTATTTCCCAGATCACTTGAACACTGGAAACAAAGCATTGTCCTTCCTCAGGATACACAGACCCATCTCTTCTTGACAACTGCAGTGAGGAAAGCTCTCAGGACTGTCAACATTATTCCAAAGGTGGCCATTTTGAAGACTCACCATGAACAGATACCTCTTGCACCGCCTCTCAAAACCAGTGTGTTCCATGCAGATGCAGGTTCAACCAGAAGGGAGGAGGGACCACATTGTGAAAATGCATGCCACTCATTTGAAAGTAGAAGCAGCTACGTGGAAGAAACTGATGCGCTTGGAGGAAAGTTTAGAATAAACGGAAGATATAATGGCTGATGCCTCTTGCCTCAGAATTCAAAGAAAGCTTATGTTCCAGAAAGCAAATTATTTATCAGTTGGATTCACCTGATTTCAGACCAAATCAAAATAATAAAGTCTGAGAAATGACGTGTTGAAGGATGCACCACACTTAGAATGTTTTCTGGGGATATAATCACTTGAAAGTCACAATTTAATGACTGGAAACAGTTTTCTCCCTCTAAATACATCCTCCAGGTTTTAAAATCCCAAATAAATCTCCAGGATGATTGCTCTAGTAATATGAGAAACAGCAGAAATAATGCATCCCTTGCCCTAGTGACTAAAATCAAAAATAAAAATAGAAAATACAACCTAAGATGGCAGGGAAACGGCTTCCCAAGTGGGCACTACCATAGGGGTGGGGACATGAGGGCAGGCGGGCAGGGCTGCAGCACTGGGTGCCCTCTGCGCACGGCCAAGGGGCTCAGAGTTCAAGCGTGGCTGCTCCTCTGGCTACGGCCACCAGTCGTCACAGGGGTCAAGGCAACAGAACTGCTGATTTTTCCAAAAATCTTCTCGAAGCAGCAGCAACCACAGCAGTTTTCCTGCAAAGCAAACAAAATATGACTCTTGTTAATTCAGCAGCGCTTTTGCAATTGTCATTAGTTGGTTGCGCCCCTTAGGAAAACCACACATGAGTTTTTATAACATGTGTGTATGTGAGAGAAAAAAAGAAACCCCTTGAAGGATCCCGGTGCTTACCAGAGTTGGGTTTTTTTCAGTTTTTGCAAGATATTTTAGTACTATTTGCAATATCGAAGGACAAGGCCGCTTTGTTTCCTCCGAAGCACAGCCAACTCCCAAAGTTGCTGCCACCCCGTCCGTTCTGTCAGCTCAATCCCAGCATCAAGGGGAGAGTGTGGATGGCGTGTGCGGAGGTTTCTATTTGCTTTATGACCATGTCTGACCCCAGGCCCGCACGCTGCTTGCTGTCCTACACCATTCCTACAGATGTGAGGAGGTGTGCTCCATCATGTCTCACAGGTTGGCAAAAGATGCAACAGAAACAAGAAATGAAATGCCACCAGGTTGACTTTTAGAGTGTTTCCTCAACCCATCAAAAAACCTCTAACAAATTGCAGGAGATTTATATGCCTCAATTTACATTGTGGATTATGCCTCATCCACAGGGCCTGGAAGTCGCTCTTTTTCCACAGGAATAATCTTCAACCACCAGATTTTAAAAATCAATATTATCTCAAAATTGGTTTTACTCATGATAGATCTTGCCAAAATCCCCATCTTATCCTGGCAGGAAATATTGTGAAGAATGATCTTTTCCTTTTTTTTGCACATTCTTCTCAAATGAGGCTGCTCTCAGAATTAATGTCTTAAGCTTACATTTTAATCTGACAAAAAAAAAAAATTAGGACAGTAAACTAGGAAGCATCCACCTCAAGTGGACCTGAAATGACTCTTCTCCCCTGTGGCGGGACCGAGGCGAATGTCTGGAGGGGTCCCAGAAAGGCAGGCAGCCAGCCTAAGGGACCATCAGGAGGCAGACCTGACCAAGTTCAGAGAGAGGCTCGCAGCAACCCCAACAAGATGGCGTCTAACGGGGCCAACATGACCAGCTTGGGTGCTGTTGTCTTTGTCCTCTGCGTAGCTGCCACTGCCTGGGCTGACACTCCTTCTTTTCCATCACGTTAGGTTCAAAGCGCCAACTTGGTGTGGAAAGACTCCTCCACCTCCTACCACCATTTCCTCCTCATACTTCCCCCACCAGACCCTGGCAGCAGGCCTGCCTTGCAAGGCAGCCTCCAGTCACCCAGTGAATTCATTCCCACCAGGCCTCAAAAGTGACTGCAGTGCCCATGGTGGGAAGGTGGTTTGTGGCAAACCCCTGGGGTTTGTGGTACCCTGGGACCAAACTGCTTTAGGAGGAGGGAGTGGAGAGACAAGGAAAAACAGGCCTGCTGCCTGTAGACTCCGGTGCTCACAACTCCCTGCCAAGGCCGGGCCGCACTCAGCGAGCTCGCACCCCAGGCCCAGGAGCACAGAGAGGGCTTTCTCTCTCCACATTGTCACACAACACAAAACTACCTTCTGCTCTTCCCAAAACTTTAATGTCCTTGCTATTTTTGACAAATGGGAATGGTCTTTGCAAATAGAAAGCACAAGCCTTCCTGTTGACTTTTCATAGACTTCTAGATGAGTGATAGACTCTTAAGTAAATGACCCTTACACCAAAGGCCAAGGCTTTCCTAACGCTGGTTTGTGACTTTTATTAAGATTTACTGATTTATTTCTACCCTATCTTATTTCTCAAAAGATTCAAGGCAGCTTACAAGAATATAAATTGACAAACAAAAACCTCAGGACCAGAATAAACACAAATCAGAATAAAAGATTAAGACCAGGCAGCAGAATGGAGACTCACGAGTCATGAGTCCTACATAGTTAAAGTTAAGCTGCAGAAACAGCCATGGATTTACTGCCCCAAATTAGGGAGCCGACTTGCTGGAGGGTGCATGGCTCCCCAACAAGGACATAAATGTTGGGATTTCTAAGTCTTCTGTAATAGTGCACTTTCTTAGGCTTCCCCTTTAGGGCATAAATTGGGCCAGCTTATTGATATAATAGAAGAGGCTCACATGTCAAAGTCTCTCCTAAGAACTGTGACAAAATTCTAAGCAGGATAGAGACTTTGTATCCAGTGGTGGTTCTTTGGGATCCAAGAGTGGAGCAAGACCAGGAGGCAGCTCAGGGGAGAAAAGCAAACGTGGGCTATCGATTCAGAGGCCCTGGAGTGGATGAGGCTCTACCATTTGCTAGCAGTATGGCTTTGGGGGAGTTATTTTGTCTCTGAGTCTCTGAGACTCGGTTTTCCCATCTATACAAAAAAGATACTACTTCCTCTGATATCGCGTCGTTGTTGTAAGGACTACGAGAAACAGTTTCTGATCAGGTACTGGCACCTACTGAGAGAATTACTGAGTACCTACTATGTGCCAGACCCTGCTCTCAGGGCTTTGCGTGACTTATCTCATTGGAGCCACTCAAAAGCTTAGGAAGTAAGACTGTCCCCACCCCCCAAATCAGGAAACTGAGGTTTCTTTGCTAGGAAATGGCAGAGCCAGGGTGCAAACTCAGCAGTCTGATTTTGGGGCCTCCTCTCAACCAAAACACTGCCCTGCATCCCGTATGCAATCAACATTCCACTCCTTTCTCGCTCCTCTCTCTCGAGGTTTGCACAAGCATCTCTTCAGGAAAAACCCTGAGACCCACCTTTCAAACGGGCACCTTCTGTAGGCTATTTGGTCACACGGTCCTGAGTGTCAGAGCAGCAATTCTTCTTCTTCTAGGAAAACCAGAAGACATTTCAGGAAGGATTAGAACTTTTTTCAACAGTTCTTGACTTACGAAAACACTTGAGTCAATAACTTGCTACTGAGTAGAAAGCGTTCTTCAAGCATTTTCCTGAAGCCTAATGGCTGACGACCCTCTGAGAGATACACTGAGCCACCTTCGAAGTCCAGCTCAAACACGGGTCCCCCGCGCCTAATGCTCCTGTCATCGCCACCCTTCCTCTAACAGTCAGGGACAAAGAGCTTAGCACCTAGTGACACAATTTTTACACATATGTGTTTTGTCAAAACTTCCTTCAAAAACATTCACTTAGACAAAGCACAAGAGTCAAGACTGAAACTAGGCTGCAGTGACTATAAAGATGAGTCAGACACAGAAACTGCTTCTTCCAAAAGTTTCCAAGTCTAGTAGACAAGAATTATTTAAGTGCCATAAGAGAGGCTCAGGAAGACAGAGAAAGCACCTCTAGTTTGGGGATTGAGAAGAGCTGTCTTAAAGGAGGTGACATTTAGGCTTGAGACAATCACTAGGATCTGGGCTGATCCGGAAGAAGGAGTGGAGACAGCACTGGACAGCCGAGATGGGGATCTCCTGGAGCAGGCCTGCACTGCTGGTGGGTTTGCTTGGTGTGCACTGTGGGGACACTTGAAGATTTTTTGATTAGAGAGTAATACGATCAGAGTTGTAAGTAATAGAACAATGATTCGTGAATTAGATAGAGAGTGGCTGGAGGTTGGAAATCAGCCCACAGGTTATTTTGTTAGTTCAATAAACTGGAAGGAGGGTGTGGGCTGGGGTAGTAGCCTGGGGACGGAAAGGAAAGGGAAGGGGCTTCGCAGCTCTGGGAGGAAGGAAACTGCCATATTTGTTCAGTTTTCCTTCCTTCGGCCCCAAAGCATTTATTAAGTCTGCAGTATGTGCTTGCTGAGTTCTATTCGATTTGTGCTTTGGAAATGCTTTGCTCCACCCTAGTTGAGAGCTGTTTCTGATGGAAGATGGGTTACGTATGGATGGCTGGGGACAGAGAAAGGTTGAGAACCACAGCACGTCATCTTGAACATATTGTAGAAGGCAGAGCACTTCAAAACCTTAATTTCTAAGAAGAAAAATCCTTCTCAAATTTAGTAACTGATCATAGGCATGCTAAAGAAGGAGGTGCTTTTAAGCATGAAACAATTAAAAGAGACAAATAAAAGTTTATAAATGACTTTTAAAAATATGGAATTTAGATTTAAGAGTAAATAGTTTAGGATAAGAGTTAAATTTTCAACATAAAGTTAAATTCTGACTTTATAAAACATACCAGAACCAAGATTATTCCAAAAATGAATTTTCTGGAAAAATTTAGTCTCAGTATTTAATTGAAAAATAGAATATATTAAGCTTGAATATTTTCTTTCAGTAACACCAAAAATGTACAGTACGTGAATGGTTCTGGAGACGTCATCAGGCCTCCTTTGCCCAGGAGCCCATTATCCAGCAGGAGAGCAAAGCGTGAAGCTCTGCCCGAACTCCGGAGCCCACACTGGGATGCTGGCTCCATCACTCGCTCCTGAGGGGATCCTGGCAAGCACTTAACCCCTCTCCTCAGTTTCCTCATCTATGTAACGAGGATAATAACAGTGCCCGTTTCAGAGGGTTGGTACGAGGGTTAAATGAATTAATTTTTGTAAAGCAGTTAGAACAGTGCCTGGCACAGAGTCATATAATTATAACTTTCATGATAACTAAGTTTATACAGTGAAATTTGTTTTTTAAAAAAGAAAATCCTCACTATTTTTGAAATATCTGTTCATCTTAGGTACCAGCAGTTGGATAGAATAACAAAAAGGTGATTTTTGTTGCTGTTGTTACATGATTTTAAAAATATTTTTAAACACTTTTGAAACTGTATAATGTCATTAATTATCTGCTGTGGTTTCTATATTGTCCTACCATGTCAAAGTGTATTTGGACACCAATAAGCTTGGATAAAAATACATTGGTGGAAAATTGGCCCAAAATAGGTTGGTAACTCTAATAAGCAGTTTATGCAGTCTGGGTGAGGTACCGACTAGGTAATAAGTCTATTTTTACTTGACATCAGTACCAATTATCAAGGAAAGGTATATTCAGACACAAATAAAACTTAGTACTGATGCTGAATTTAGAAGTAAAGTTAATTTCAATAAAAACTGGATGTGGAAAAGATTAGTACCTGAAGCATAGTCATTCCAGCTTTGTTGGTCAGTGAAAAAGCCCCATTCCACAACCCCGGGGAGTGGGAGAATGAGGAATGCACGGGGAGGAAATGACAGTGCAGCACACGCAGACTTCGTCAGGGCAATACAGCAGCTGTCTGAACTCATCTCACGGCAGACCTGTCCCCAGTGGGGCGTGAAGGCATGGATTGCATATTGCCTCTATATGTATCTTACCCAACTGAACATCCTAAATGCTTAGCAAAGTTACTTCAATGTTACACATCTGCTTCTGCGTTATTTCTATAAGCCACAGTGATTTGGATGGAGATAGTCTAACGGAGGCTATTGTGGTGATTCTGGTAAGGAGTGCCCCAAGCCAGAAGAACCACGGGGATGGAGACGACTAGACGGATTCCAGAAGCAGTTGGCGAAAATATTGTACTGAACTTGGAGATAAATTAAACATGAGATGAGAGGATCGAGGGAGAGGGGGGACACAAAGAAGATGCCCTGGGGGCTCGTTTAGGCCGTTCATCTGAGGGGCTAGCTGAGGATGAGGTGAGGTGTTTGGGGATGAGTGCCGTGTAAGACTGAGAAGATCCCAGTGGAAATGTCCATACACAGGTGGATACATGGATCTGAAGCTTAGGAGGGAAACTTATGCCAAAGGGACAGAGAAGGGAGTAGAAACACAAACAGTAATCAAGGCCATGAGAGTAGATAGGGATTTTACGGGAAAAAGTTAGTGCAGAATGTGGGCTCAATTATTCTCAACAAGCCCTTCACTCATCTTTATTTAGTCTTTGGGAAGCATCTCCTTCACATATATTTACACTACTCTCTGGACCAAGTTGAGTATTATAGTTTATTGGTGCCTAGAGCAGACTACACCAAATAAGCACAGAAATTAAAATTCTGAGTTCCGTTTTAAGGAGGCCTGTTTATCTTGATGTACATTAGCATATTTTTCCAAAACTTTATATGTTTCTATATCTCAGGCTACATATGTGTGCGTAAGTATATGTCATAGTACAGTGATGTAATTCATTTTATAATGGATACAATGATTTAATAATAAACATAATAAATAGTTACGCTGAAAATAATACTCTACTAAACAACATAATTAGCATTTACTTTTAAAAACACCAATGGCTCAAGAAAAGTATTTTAAGTAGTTTAACACTAGCACAAGAATTGAAGCCCGTGAGAAAAGGAATTAGAAAGAAACTCACTTAAGGCTAAGATGCCTCGAGCATCTGATCACCAAACACTGGAGATCGACCAGAAAAGAAGAGGAGAAACAACCAGCCTTGTTACCTGTGTGCTGAGTCTGGAGTGGAGCTTGTGGTCGGACAACCAGGGGTGCTTGAGAGCTTCACTCGCACTTATTCTCCAACTAAAGGGAAGTTCAGGAGGTTATTAGTGAGGACACACCAAACGAGGCCTGAATCGGCCCTTCCACCACGACTCCGGCCACCGCCTTTGCGGATAGCTGAAAGTCAAATTCACGAGCAATTCTATCTTCTCTGGAATTGTTGACGGTCACAGGTTACTATCAGGCCGACCAGGATAACAACGTTGGTAAGACAAGCGGGACAAATGATCCAACATTCTTGTTAATTACTGAACATCTACTTTCAGATATAAGGTCCCGTTCTTGATGTAATTTCATAAATTGAACTTTTACCAGTCAGCTGAAGAATAAACACGTATTTATTATTATAATAAGAGTAAAATGCCACAATGATTCTTGATGATTGCAAAAGCAATTGAAGTATTAAACCTTTTCAACAATAGGCATTAACTTTTGAATTAAAAAGTTTTGAAGAGTTAAAGAAACAGAGAAGTAGATGGAGAGTTAATGTAAGTATTGAGAGAAAGGATACTGGATACTTTTACAAAAAACCCTATTCTTTTGCTCCAATAAATGTTTATACAATTTTTAAAAATATGAGAAAAAATTCTGAGGATTGTAGTGTATTCTAATTTTAAGCTTTGTAAGCTTGTTTTGTGTGTTAAAGTTTATCACATTAAACCAAATAACCTTTCAAAATAAAAAATTGTGAGTGAACAGTCTACCGTCTGCTTCCGAAACGATATCAATAAAGTCGTTTGACGTGGTCAGGAAGCTTCAGTTTGTAGGAGTGCTTCAATAAAATTGCTTCATCGGATATAAATATATGAGCATAACAAGAGGAGATAAGTTTTTAGTCAATGAAGGAAAATTTAATAACTTGGTGACATCACCATTAGTAGGACATAAAATGATTTTAAAAACTCCCGACCTTCACCAACCTCAGTCGGAAGTGTTATTCCATTTAATATCATAAATTCTCAGTATTGGACCTCCAGAGCCATTTCAATAGCTGAAAGTGCTGAAAAATTATTATTCTTATACTCTGATATCAACTTTTAAAATCTGACTGTTAAAAAGTTAACAGTAACATCATACTAATAATTAAATTCCTAATACAATTTCAAGTTTATTTTTGTACTCCAGAAGTTTATTCTATGATAGTCGTATTTGGCATTGGCCTTAGTCTCATCCAAGTACTGACTTGAATACTTAGCCAGCTGTCCCTCTGTGCAAATATGTGGCTGATGCTCCTGAAGTATTAACGAAGCCCTCAGACTAAGGCGTGGGCAGTGCGTGGGCGCTGGAGCCCACCAGGCACGGTTTGGACTCTGCTCTGAGTTAGCTGTTTGACTGCTTCATTGCTCTCGGCCTCAGTTTCCTCATCCGTAAAATAATGGTGCTAATATCCATACACCATGGGATTATCAAGGAGATTAAGTCAGACAGCACATTTAAAAAGTGTATCTGTAAAGCAGGGTCTCAGGAAATGCGCACTTCTCATCCACCACAGATTCGATAGAGCTGACATTGTCCGTGTGATCACTGCCTGGCATATGGTAATGTGCAAGCAATAATAATAGTAACATCAGCTGTTGTGCCTGTCCCTTAAAGGTAAAACCAGTGCCTGTTCATTGCCCTCCTCTCAGAGCCATGCCGCAGCCTGGCCACATCCTCCTCACCCTTGAGGACTCAACTCTGGCCCTTGTCAATACGGTCTATCTTTGCATTAACCACACTGTACCACTTCTTTTTAAAAATACCTCTCTCTTCTTTTAGATCAAGAGGCAGGGACTGGGCTCTATATATTTGTTCTCGACACTCCAGACACACTCCTGGCAGGCTGTAGATAATGACTCAGTGCTGGAGCGTCAGGCACTGTGCCGGGCCCCTTCCCCACACTGTTTCCCTACCTCCCCCAACTTGTGCCCCTCCTATCTATTGGTTTGTGGTCAGGTTTATTAATAACTTACAAGCCAGAAAGATAATAAAACAATAAAGCAAATATTGTTGGCTCTGAAAATCTTAAATACTATCTACCATTATATGTATTAGGTATAAAACCATCTAAAATAGTGAGTTTGACAGGTCAATCACAATGACCCCCCCCACCCTATAATTCTAAAATGCAAAGCCCTACATTTTAATACTACTCTTCTTTGTCCACTGATTTTTGAATTAATGTGGTCTTAGCATGACAGAAAATAGAAGGCCATATAATATCTAACGGTTAAGTGTGTGGCCTTGGGGTAAGGTTGACTTATGTTTGGTTATCAGTTCTGCAACTTATTAGCCATATGGTCATGGCAAACTACTCAGAGGCTCACCCATAAAGTAGTAATGGTCATTCCACCTCATAGATTTGGACTGGGGACAGAAGAGAGAATGTCTATAAAGCTCTTGGCTCCATCTGGCCCATAGTAGGTTCTCAAATGAAGTAATAAAGTGTTCAGCTACATAGAGCCGCATATGCGCTTTGTCGATGTTAAAGGGATCATGGAAATAACTTATCCCAAACCTTTCATTTTGAGAGTGAGTCCACTGGGACCCAGGAGGAGCCCCTAACTGCTAGAACCTAGCTGCAAGAGACAGGAGGGAAGTTTTCGCAGCCCCTTTCAAGCCTCATGACCAAAGCAGTCTGTGATCTCAGTAAACTGGGTCAAGAGCTTCAGACTCATTCTATTTACATCTTTGCAGGAGCATCCCAGATGTCATTCAGGGAATTTGGTGGTTATCTGCCATGAATTCTAATAACCCTGATGGCATCCTGTTTCCCCATCAGGCCTACTTCTTCCAGAGCGTAGAATGAACTGGGGTTACCTCTTCTCCTTAATCAGAAGCTTGGAGATGAACTCCCTGCCCTCCTCTGAGATGTCCTGAAATTCTTCATCCTCTAAATCCCATCTGCAGGCCAGGATGTTGTTCAGGGTCTCAGCATCATTATCACCCAGGAAGGGGGACAAACCACTAAGTCTGTAAGACACAGAATCTAGAGTGAGTATTTTTTACACAGCCTCAAACCCTTTAGAGATAGGTTACTTTTTTAGTTCTGTCACTTAAAACTGAAAGAAGACAAATAACCAATAATTAAGCATAATGTTATATTATTGCAATCCAGAAAATGCTTACCTCTACCACCCCAACACTTAATTAAACAATTGCAACAATGAAGGCAGCAGCTACACTCAAATACGAATCTCAAAGAATAGTACAGCTTCTTTTTTAAAGCATTTTACCGCTAGCCAAGTGCTGTCACACGCTTAGATGGCAAACACCAGGAGGAGCACCTCTGGAGTAAGGCTAGCATTAGTCACTTTGGAGATGAGGACACTAGCTCTCTGTTTGTTTCTAACTATTTTTAAGGCATTGGTGCTGTACTAGGAGTTAAAGTGACGAGTGAAGAAGACATACATTTTCTTTTCTGATGATGCGCAGGGAAAGAATTTACTCCTTTCACCCACAGGATTCAACAGAGCCTAGGAAGTAACTGAATATGGCACTGTGTTATTTATTTTTGAAAGACCTAAATTACGGCTTTTATTCAAAATAGCAAGACCTCATAAAACATGCACGGGGATTGAGAATGTGTGTCAGAAAGACCGGAGATCTGCTTACAGCATATAGGCAATGACCCCCACACTCCACATGTCAGTGGGAAAGGAAACAAAATCATAGTTCACAACTTCAGGGGCAAGAAATTCTGGAGTCCCAAAGTTCACCTTCAGCTTCTCTCTGGGTTTGTATCTGAAATTTAGGAGAGAAAGTGGAGGGATGGAGAGTGTCAATCAAAAATCAAAAGTCACAGAAACTGAAAAGATGCAGTCCATAAGACAGACTAACTTCAGCCACACAATGAATTTAAAATAAACAGACTTTAAAGGAAATCACCTATTTAAGAGCTAGTGTCACAAACTTGTAGAGAAGTTCCAGGAGTTTTAGGGATCATAATTCATACTATAAAACCTTGATAATCTGAAACAGTTGTGGGAAAAGCCACTCAGAATAATTAGAACAGCTGAATTATGGAATACGACAAAAGGAAAACTGACACAGTCCTTAACAGGGAGATGGCTTGAATCAGCCCATATTAATGAATAAATGAAATGCAATAATTTACAACATCCATTTTGTTTCATCGTTGATGTGCTGAAGTCCATGCAAACTCTTTGTTCCCTTAAGAAGCCTGTAAGTGCCAGCACAATTGGCAATCTTGTTTACACTTCTAATTTTTTTTAAAGTAAATCTTCTCTTTACAAGTGGAAGAAATTTAAAAGACTACAACAAACTGCTATAAATTCTAAATTAACATCTTCAAATTTAATAACTTCACTGTATTGGGTTTTAATTTTACATATTTTTTCTTGCACGTACTTAGAAACTTCTAAACATTCAAATCCCAAAGTCAGCAAGGTAAGGCTGAACATAATTTGTGTTAAGTTAATTCTAGATGAAGGTATGAAACCAAGGGGTATATCAAATTTATCTTTGCAAAGAAAGAGAAGCTATCATGCTCCCAACCTCCTTCATACACCTATGTCCGAACAGACATACCTTCTGGCCAATCCAAAATCAATAATTTTTATTTGTTTAGCATCCCGATTCACACACAGGATATTCTCAGGCTGCCAAGAGAAAGAGACACATTAGCAATGAAAACAACCATCATTCACTCAAATTGTCCTTGAACCACAACTAAAAATACAGCGATGCTCAGGAAAAACATATCAGGCCTTTCACTTTGGGGCTGGCTTGTCTGTGTGGGTATTTTCTCCTTTAATTATGTGGTGGATGAGGTTGTGGGTACCCTGCCAACCCTGCATTACCCTGCCGGTCCGTCTCCCTGCTTCTGCAGTTTACCATAATTCGTGAGTTCAGGCAGAGGCCTCCTTGAGGGAAGAAAGAAAAGGAGGCTTTTCAGTGCTTTCCAAATGGACTGGTGGAGGCCGTCTCGGACTTGACATCTGCCCCCTAAAATTATTAAGTATGAATTTCCCCTTCTTGGAGGAATATTTTTCCCAAGGATTTATGAGTTCCAAGAGAAATGGCCTGATTCATTTAAACAGCCACACCGAATATGCAATATAACGTGAACGTTCCTGACCTCCAGATTTTCCCTTTGCGCTTGGCCTATGGGAAAGTCATATGTAAAAGGAAGGCTTTTCGCCCTGTTCATTCTTCATTCTCAGTAATTCCAGTTTTGCTGAGTTTGGTCTCAATGCCTAAAACCCTTGACTAAGTGTCCCCTTGGAGTTTGACTCTGGTAAGACTCTACCCTGCCAGTCTGACAGTCTTGGGGTGAAGAGGGAGAGACGTAGACAGTGGCGCTGCGACTCTGCATCGACAGCGTCTTACACGTGGACCGCCATTTGTTAGGACAGTAAACTGAGGCCTGGGAAAAATAAGGGATTTGATTTGATTAAAAGCCAACGTCATCCATAAAAGAGAGAGAAAGTTTTCAAAGAACTGCCTGGAGCTCTCAAGTTCTCGCCCCAACTCTTCCCAGAGAGCTGGCGGGCATTACTAGCTGAGTCTCTGAATCCCCAGGAACCCAGGTCCCATCCTTTAGCGGGGATCCTGGGTGCTCCTCCCCTGCTGTCTGTGTGGAAAAGAGGTTCAGATGAAATCAGAAACTCAGGAACACTTTGCAAAATCATGTAGTGTCTCCTTATCAATATTCAATAGTCCATTTGGTTGGTCATAATGTCTTTTGAAGCCCTTTTCCAAAATATCTCTGAAACAGATGTCCATGAGTAAAAGCTATTTATAGAGAAGTGAATTCTATATAAGAACATTCAGTTTCATGTTTAATAACTGATCATGTATAAAGCTGTCCAACCGTCAAAGAATACTATGACATAAAAATTTGCAGAATGTAAAGAAACAGCTTTGAGAACACTTCAAAAAGTTAATTTTTTCTAATTATGAAATTAAAGCATATTCATGAGTAAGATTTGGAAAACACAGAAAAATATAAAGACCATTTTCAAGTCACCTATAGTCACCTCTATCTAGTGACAAGTACTCTCAATATTTTTGGCCTTTTCTTTCCGAGGAGCTTTCTGAAAGGGCTGAGTGGTCCTTAATGACCCATCCAGCTGTTGCCTTTACTATTGTCTTTACATCCAAGCCATAACTAAAAGCGCCCATTGCAAGTTCTCAATCAACATTATGAAGCCACATATGGAGTTGTTTGACTTACGATAGGTCAGGTCCTAGTTCCAGTTGCCAATCAAATCCCTTTAGGGATATCTGTAGAATATCTACGCTCAATGAAAATGCTCCGCGAAAATACACATTATCAAACTCAGCTCATAGCCAAGGGCTTTGTCAACAATTTTTAACCTCTGACATCGTCATTTTATATACCACTTCCTCCTGCCCTGTGAATGGGAGACTCAATGCACATAAATCAAGACAGTGAGGGACGCCATGTAATTAGGAAGAGAGGCCCATGGAAACCTATTTAAGGAAGTTAAATTTATTTAGCTCTACAATCCCTGATGACTTCCAATAGGTGGTATGTTACATAGAATATATATTTTATCTCATTGTCAGGCTGTGCAAACAGGGAAATGAAAAAATGACTGAGCCACACACGAAAATGCACTTTATGATACTCAGCCCTAATATTAGAGCTGGTCAGAGTTATTGGGCCTGGATCTTCCCTTGGTTGAAACTAGGACTACGTACAGTCCAATTCGAGGGACTTCATAATGGGAGAGAGATCAGAAGGGAAGGGTCATTAAATAAGAGCAGAAAAGAAGGCAGCTTGGCTCCCGCAGTTCACAGAGGCTTTCCACCATTTCCAGCTTGGTGCCCAGCCCCACCCCCACAACCCTTCTCTGTTCCTTAACATTTTAGCATCCCCTTTCTGGCAGCCCTGTAACCCATTCTGCCACAGGTTTTTCCTCAGTGCTCTAGTATGCTCATAGAAAACAAATCCCTGAAACCCAGAGCTTCCTGAAAGATTCTCGGAGCGTGCTGGGGATTCTTGAAGAGCTGTAAAGTTTGGCTACTACTAAGGAGGTCTGTGATAGCTAAAATCCTCCACCTACTTAGCCTCACAATGAGCGGGGACACAACCAGGGTGGTGGTGGGGATGGTTTTAATTCTAAACTTTTAGAGAAACCATCTCCCCCGTGGATTCTTTCAACACAGGCAAGATACAAGTATCTGAATAGTAGTCCCTAAAGATGGAGACAAGCAAGTGTCGGGGGTGACAGAAGTTAGGAATGGGGAGAGGAAGCTAAGAATGCAAGCTTTATTAATTCCTGAATATGTACCTAGTGGCAGGATAAATATCCTGAGCTGGTGTGCAGTGTCTGACACGGCCCACCCTCCACACGACGGAGAGCTGGGAAGGGTGGACATTTCATAGAATATCAACACACTCTACCTTCAGGTCCAAGTGGAGGATGTACATCTGATGCATGTGCCTTATCCCCTCACATATCTGCCTGATGAACAGGATGGTGTCCAGCTCAGTCAGACTATAACTATCATCAATGACGCGGTCGAACAGCTCCCCGCCATCCACACTGCAGGGGGAGAGGGGGATTCCTCAATGAACATGTGGCTTTCTTGTAGCAGCTTGGTGTTGAAGCTCCTCTAACTCTTCGAGCAGATGTGTGCACAGTTATTTCTCTGCCTATCTCGGTGAGATGGCTCTTATGTTGAAGGCCCTTATTTTAGCCACCAGCAATTTCACGAATGGAAAGTGTCGTCCAGTGGCTGCAGCTCTGGAGCAAGTCCACATCTTCCATTTTCTAACATACATGGACATAAAGAGGACTCTAAGAAGGCAGGGTGGGGAGGCAAGGTCTCCTCAGACTTATTTCAGTGATAAAGTGTTTCTATGTGGCTGATGCTAAATATTTTATTATCCCAAATTCTGTATTGCACAATGATAAGTAAAGCCCCAAATGGGTGGGGTGGGGGTGGGGGGGAATGAACTGAATCACAACTCTGATTCAGTGTTAGTTAGAACTACTCACTTTCTAAATAAACACATTAAATTTTTATAAAGGTGATTTTAAATGGACACTTCTTACCCTTAATTCTTAGGTTTAACATCAACTATGTATTAGCAATTAGGTTGAAAGTGAAATGTAGTTCAAAAATCACTTTCCTCCAGATTAATCAAAATAATATTTAAGCTGGATTTTTGACAGTGTAGCTTAGATACAGAGATAGGTCTAGGTTGCCATTCTACTTCTTATCAATAAAAGCTTGTACGGAGATGTCTATTCCTAAGTAATTTCCATTCTGAAACCGACACAACCGTCTGACACACACGAGTCAGAATCAGTGATGCACCAAGGGTAGATCTAGGCAGCTCTGAGGTGGGACCGAGCTGCAGCTGTGGTCACTGGTGCTGTGGGACGCTCTGGATGTGAGTGTGCAGGTTTGCAGGGGAGCAGAAGCGGGGCAGGAGGGAACACATACTACTCCATGACCAGGACAATGTCATTGTTAGACTCAAAGGCATCGTAGAGCTGAATGAGGTTCACGTGATCCAGCTGGTTCATGACATTGATCTCGTTTTTCACTTCGTCCTGAGAAGAAAGAGAGGCATTTAGCGCTGAGAAGATGACGGCAAGGAGAAATCCATATCACACGGCCTTTACCTTATCCTTCACGCCTCTGGTCTTGATGATCTTGGCCGCCAGCTTCAGACCTGTTGCTTTCTCTTCACATTTATGAACCTGGCCAAAGCGCCCCCTGCCGAAGAAAAGGAGGTGGTGCAGTGTGAGGTTCTCTCCCAACAGGGCCGCCTCAGCCCTGCCAAGAGGACCGTGCAGTTGCCTTGGGCATTTCTCTTTCTGAGTCTGAAGGAGCAAACCTATTAGTGTATCTTCTACAGCCAATAAACTTCCAGAACAGTGTCAAGGTGTGGTCTGTGGGTCACTGGCATCAGAATCACCTGGGAAGTTATTAGGAATACGTGTTTCTGGCCCTACCCCAGACATAGTGAGGCAGGAATCCACGGTGAGGCCCCAGAATCTGCATTTCCACCATGTTCCATGGGTGAGTCATATGTGATTCACACTCTAAAATTTGAGAACTTCTATTATAGAAAAAGTAGAATCTCTGAATACATACAAATGTAATAAGCTAGACTTCGAAAGTATACAAACAATTGTTGTGGGTCAAGCACATCAAATTGTTTTTGGAAACTGCATATAAATAAGTAAGAAGTAATGACGATATTGCATACAGACACACACAATAAAAAATGCACATTACATAGTCACCTATGAGATATTTTGGCAGTTTAGTTGGATAAATTTACATAAACTTTGTAAGACAGCTTCTTACATATGTAATCACATACGGAAACGCACACTCATGAACAGGTTTTAAATTTGACTTGCTTGCTTTGACTCCTGATTTAGCAAAATAGGGAGAACACAGGCCCCTGTCTGTGCAGTGGTGGCTATCACAGCAGGAGAGAAAGGGAAGCTTCTGGAACAAAATTGGGAACCTAAGGCCCCCCCACATTCCTGGAGGACTGCAGAGGTGAGACAAGTGACAGACGCAGAGTGGTGACCACCACCACATGCCACTCAGCTCAGCCACACGCCCTGTGCAGAAGCAGATGGGTCTTGGAGAATGACACTACTGCAAACACAGCCAAGTGGTGACTTCAACCCCAACCACCAGTGCAGGTGTAGTCTCTTTACTGGAGCCCAGGAGCACAGCCCCGGGCACCGCATACGCAGCTGCTGATTTTAAAAAAAGCTTTCTTCTCTTAATTAGCAACGGCCCCAGAACTGCCTGGCCCAGCAGCAGAGCCACATCACTGTTTGACTTCAAGGCGACCTCAACTGTCTCTCCGGCGTGATTTATTCTGCAAGGGTCTTAAATGTTTAAGCCGTCTCACAGGATTCCTGCTGGTCCACCATACTGATAACCTCATGCTAACTGAACATGACAAGTAGGAATTATATATACCCTAGAGGCCACAGGATGGGAGGTGAACTCCAGGAAAATTCAGGGCCTGCCACCACAGGCAAGGTTTTCAGGATACACTGCTCCTTGACGTGTTGCAACATCTCTGCTAAAAGTGAAAGACAATTTGCTGCATCTTGAATCTCCGACTACGAAAAAGGAGGTACACACTGGATGATCCCTTTGCATTTAAAGGCAACAATGCACATTTGATTGTGCTCCTCTAACTTATTCACTGAGTGAGTGATGGCTGCCAGTTTTGAGTGGAGCCCAGAACAGAAGATGACCAGCAGCTGGTCCAGACAGCAATACAACTGAGAAGATGCAATGGTCCTGAAGGGACATAATGGAAGTTCTTAAGGAGGCACTGACAAACCCCCAGAAACAGCACAAGTCCTAAGGATTGTTTCAAAGCCTCTTCTGCAAATAACTATTTTCCTTTAGAGAAACAGTCACTGGCTTGCCACTGAAGTCCCTGAAGACACAAAGAAGCTGCTATTTATTTATAGTAATACTACAGACTCCCACGGCACCTATTCATGTTTTGGAATTTCCATTTCTCCTTCAACCCATCCCCCCAGTCTCAAGGGGAGTTCTCTACGGTTAGCTGGTTGAGGAGGAAGAAGTTCAGGTGGCAAAGGGCAAAAGAAATACGGAACAGGAAGAGGAAGAAAGGACTTTACAAATATCAACTACACAATGACCAACTTCAGAAACACGCACTATAGTTGTGTGCATATTTTGCATGTGTTGGTAAGGTAGTTTTGTATATATTTGTATAAATTTTCTGCTTTCCTCTTCCTATTATCTATAGATATGCTGATAGCAAGTAAACTTTACAATTTAGGCTTTAAATTACAAGACATCTTACGGAGACTGTGACTGAAGGAGAAGAGGAAAGAAGATCCCCCAACAAAGAACTCGGTCCCTGGCGGTCTTCACTCTTCCTGCCTCAGCGAGACAGTGAGCATGCGGATGTGCTTCAGATAGGTTCTTCAGTGAGGAACGTAATCAATGCACTAACAATATAAATGGAAAACCAACAGGGATTTAACATATCCAGCAAAAAATACGCAGTGTTCGCTCATGTCTACATTTTGTTTCTCAGTGTTTAAGCTTTACGCAGCTTCTAAAACTTCTGGTGACTCACACGGGGTTTCTCTCACTTTCAGACGTTACAACACGCAAAGTACAGCAGATAATAAATGTGAAGTTTAGTCACTGTCACCACATCAACCTTTCTGGCATCAGTGACAATTTTCAGAAATGGTTAAAATCCCTTAAAATGTTTATTTATGGTGTTTCTGGTTTTCAAGTTGAGCCTGGCAAATATTTATGAAGTCCTTAGGATCCCTGTCTTTGAAATCTCTCTTCTTTTGTTGAAAGATTATTAAAAGTGAACATTACTTACCCTCCTAAAATTTCAGTTCTGCTCACAGTATAAAAACTGTTGACTGCTGCTTGTTTGGCTGTCACAATACGGTGATGAAATGGGGCAGAAGGAGCCGGGCCATCATCTAGAAGGTGGGAGGAAAAGAAGGGCCTTCTGTTAAGCAGTCAGACCTCTTTCTGGTCCCAAGCTTTGGGCCTCAGAGTAAAAATTGCTTATTTAATATTAAAATATAATGGGGCATCTGTTTTATTCCTAATGACCCAGGGAATATAAATTTTCATTTCATGCTATGATCTGCGGTTCATGAAGGTGACACCTGACATCTTTGAGAAAGAATGTCAGGACCACAAAACGACAGGTCATACCATCATTCAGGACAACTTTTAGAAATGCTAAACTAGTTGAAAAATCTCCAATCCCGATACAGTCCAAACAGGTAATACTTCCAAGCCTGAGACCATTTAAATTCAAACATGAGAAATTGCTTGACCTATTTTTTAAAAAGCACCACTCATATAGTTCATTATTTTAATTAAAGCAGAGAGGAAACAGAATAATAAAAAGTTTCTTCACGTCATTGAAAGGTTTGATATTATTATATATTACTTTCCAAAATATTTTAGGCTTTATTTAAGACACATTTAAGGCACAAAGATGAATTTTTCCCGGCTGGCTGGAAATAAAACACCCAGTCAAACTGGCTAAGTATATATTCTACAGCTCTCAAATTTCTCCCACTTTCCACCTTCCAGCCTAAGTGTTTAAACTCTAGTCTACCTCAGGATCAGTTCTAAAATACACAATTACTCAATAATATTCTTCCAGTATTCTTTTCACTTTTCCATGATTGCTGCTGTTAACATTTGCTTGCCATGAACCTATTCACTTCCCCATTTATTCATTATTTAAGCATCTGCTACACGCGGCTTCTTACATGGGTACAAAGGATAGAAGGGAGGTCAGGAGAGGAGAACTTTGCTTTCAAAAATGTGCACAACATGTATTTCTTGAGCACTTTTCTGGTGCTAGGCTCTCTGACGAGAGTTAATGTTTTTAAAAATTCAGATAATATAAATCTCCAGGAGTCTGGTATGATATGGACAGTCACCTCTCACATAAATATGCTGAAAAATAGAGAAGTTATGGAAGAATTCTCTTGGTGGCATTCATCACTTCAGACCAAAAAAAAAAGAGAGAGTGATTGTGCGACATACAAAACGGCGTCAATATGGCGTTAGGTCTCCTTCAGGCTGTTAGGCTACGTGAAATTTAGCTGGAAATGCTTGCTGGAAAAGGTTAAGAAGCTTTCAGAGGCTGAAACAAAAGCCACTCCCTACGCAACGGGGTCACCAGGTCTTGGCGCGTGGCGCTCGCAGCTCCAGCGGCCCCCAGGGCTTCGCCTCGCAGGCGCCCTGGGCCGGCGCGTCCCGTCCGGGTCCTTCGCCCCGCGCGGCGCCCGCTCTTTCTCTCATGCTCCCTGATGGCGCGCGCCTCAGTCCCTCCCCGCGTGCTGCTGCCAGCATGCTCTGTGGGTTCAGACTTCTGGGAAATGGGTCCTATCCCCGAGTTTCCCGGGATTCGTGATGCAGAAATGGCTTTTGCGCCAATGATACAACTGGAAAATAAAATCCAGCTGCAGCTCTCAAAGTTTCAGGGACAAAACTTTCAGATAATCAAATTTCTTAGAACTAAAGGTTCCCCAAAATGCTGTTTTGGTGAAGGGACATAAGCTTGTGACGGAGAGCTGGCGATGTCAGTGTTTGCGGATGAAATGGAGCAGTATGCTTCCTCGTCAAGGCTAAGCAGCACGAGAACAGGCAGAGAGAACCAGAATCCCAGAGGCTCTCCCGGCGGCCTCGCCGCCACCCCGACCTTCCGCTGACCCCTTACAAAAGCAGTCACTTTATGAATACCTAATTCGATCTTCATTTTTCACTTCCTTTAACGTAGAAGAGAGAAATGACTAAATTAAAGCATAATAAAAGAAGCAACGGTCCCCCTGATTATTAACAGCAGCGACAGGAGCCTAACTGGGGAGAGACTCGCCCTAATTGGAGTTGCTCAGCAGCTCCTGACCGTGGTAAGCACAGCTTCCCAGAGATGGACTTTCTGAGTAAACATTAATGTATATATCTAGTTCCTGGAAAATCAGACTTCTCCATGATTAAATTTCATATACATTATGAAAAAATGAAATAAGAATTATATCTTAAGTCCCTAAAAAAGACCCCAGATGGATGTTTAGATACTCTTTGTTCCAAATACATTCTGTAGCTCATCGTAATGTAGAGTAATTAATTTTAATTGGCTACATAATGACGTGAATTTATACGTGAAACTTTGCAGTTGAGGGAGAGTCATTCAATAATCTACTTGTTACTCAATCCTCACAAGATTTTGGAGAAAATAGCAAATTTATCACGTATAATAAGGTAGGTAAACTTTTTAAGAATTAGGTTTTTAACTTACAAATAAATCTGATGATTATTCAATTCTTGTTAGGAAGGATGTGCTTTATAATGCTAAAATAAGAGCTTCTTCTTGATCTTTAAAAACTACTAATAGACATGAGTCCTAATAATCATTTTCTTTGTCTATCAGTTGCTGGAAGACAGAAAACAATAAAATTTAGCCTGAAAACGTCACAGGCAGGGAGAAAAAATAATGGCAAGAAAACATGGCCAAGAAATCCACACAACCTGGGAAACTGGTTTCTAAACCATTGCTTTAAAAACTCGCTTCAGTTATCCTTTGCATATGGCCTTCAACTGCAGTGGCACACAGGTCTATGAAAATCCTCAGCTGTAGAGGTGTAATGCTTTAAACACTACCTTTCATAGAATTGATCCCCATTAGTTTTATCAACTTATTGCTTTCTATGTGAACACTTGTCCAACACTGTTTCGTTCACAATTGCTGATCCTCCTTTTCTCTTAGCTTCACTTTCACCAGTTTCTTCCTTGGAATGAAGCCCATTTTTCTCTCCTTTAAACATAGGTGTTCCTTTTTATCCACAGTAGCGTACTTATCATCTCCAGCACTATTATTTTCTTGTCTGTTCAGTCTCTCTGTGCATGAAATGTCTCTTTCCTCTATATTTTCTCTTGGCTCTATGGAATTTCTTAGAGAAAAATCTTCTACCTCGTCTTGTGGTCTTTCTGTACGAAAGGTAGCAAAAGTTCTCTGACCCAGAGAGGCACTGGTCTTCTCGTCATTTTTCTTGTTGAGTTTATTAACTTTTTCTTTCTCAGAGGAGGGCTGATTCTTCTGGGAATATCTCTCTAAAAGCCACCATAGGACACAAAATATTTTAATGGAAGACACACGTGATCAGTATAATTTTGGCTTCACAAAATGGTATCTCTATTCAGGTTTCTCTTTATCAACAGAAATAAGCTTTGGAAAGCAAAGTAGACGTGAACACCACCAACGGACTGACAATTGGGTTCCCAAAGATTTTCTAGTTTGTACACTAGTGGGAACCAAAGCCCCAATCAAATAAAGGTGTCCTTCCAGCTCTTCTCCCGACACAGGGCTTCATGAATGTGTCATCTCCTCTGAACGAGAACAACAACGACAGGACTTTATGGCTGAGCTGTCTTTACCCACAAATCTCTAGTCTTCTGAAGATGTTACCTGCAAGGGCTGACGTCCTTTTGCCTTTGAGAGATGCCGTTTCCTTCTGGCTGGGGTGTGACCGCACCTTCTCCTTAGCCTGTGAATATACAATTGACAATTGAGGTTACATAAAACAGAGGGTTTCTCAACCTCAGCACTGCTGACCCTCGGGGCTGGATGATCCTTTGCTGCGATGGCTGTGCTGTGCATTACAGGATCTTTAGCAGCATCTCTGTCCCCCAGCTGTCAATAGCGTTCCCTCTCCCAGTTGTAACATCCAAAAACGTGTCCCAAAATTGCTAAATGTTCTCTGGGGGCATAATTGCCCCAGATTGAGAACCAGGGTATTACATGATTCAAACACAGAAAAAACACAAAAATTAATAGTAATTTAGAGGGAGGAGCAATCTGAATTAATGAAACCCTGTATAAACTGCAATATTTGAAAACAAATGAACTCACTATTTTAAAGAAATTCTGTAAAACTCGGGCATGGTTTGTAGAACCATCTACATTTGTTCATCTTCATGAACAGAGTAAAGAATATTGGTAATGTGTATGTGACCCTTGATTGCTGTTTGTATTGTCTAGATATGGTTCACATACAAATCGAATAAAAGTGAGAGAATATACACGAGTGGGTTTTGTAAACCAGAAGGTAGGAGACTGAGGTAAGCTTTTATGAATGGAGCTTTCACATTGCTTAGAACAGATGGCCCTTTTCCTAAGCAGATAAACATTCTTGTCACAGTCCTGGCTTCTTTGAATTAGCACATCAAACCCTTTTTAAATACCACATAAAAGGTAAACATTAGCCCAATCCACCCAAATCATCACAAATTCTGAAGTTATTCATTGTAGAGTAATGAAGTTGTACAGATGTCCCAAGAATCGGTCTTTTTGTCTTTGGAAAGAGCGAAATTTGCCCTAGGGTGACTTGCAAGCATGAAATACCATGTAAGTGCCGCTCATAGATAGCAAGACACATTGCAAATGTGCTTCTAAACAGTCTGAAGGCCAGTCCCATAGGTTCAGAGCATTTCCAGTTTCCGGCCAGGGACTTGGAACACGGAGTCATGTTTAGTAAATCTGTGGAAAACTAAATTAGATTAAAGCTTTGGAGTTTGTAACTTCCTCTCTCTTTTAAGCGCAAGTTCAGGAATGGTATATGCATACTTTTCCATCTGCAGGGAGAGTGTCCTTCTGCGTCCTCAAACAGAGACAGTTGCTCCCTCTTCTATGCTTGCACAACCCTCAGCACGTACCCCCAAACTTGGTCTCCCTTGCAACACTTTACTAATCTTTTTTTCCTCTCAATTTCCCACTAGATTATGTACCTCAAGTGAGCAAGAAGGCTGGTTCATCTTTGAATTCCTGGTGCTTGGCCCGGAGACTGGGACACAGTGATGACGATGATGATGGTTATGATGGTGCTAATGATGATGACCGTGTAATGATGGTGGTGGTGATGAGACAGCAATGATGATGAATATTGGTGGGTAATATATACTCAGCACTGACCATGACAAGGCAATTTTCTAAGCACGTTACATTATTAACTCAGTTGCTCCTTACAGCAACACTTTGGGTTAGACACTATTAGCTCCATTTTATGTTGAAGTTGAGTAATTTCCTAGGGTTTTATAGTTCAGAAGTGGTATAACCAGGATTCTAACTCAAATGTCTACTTCAGTCTGTGCTCCTAACTACTACACTGTACTGTCACTCTGAGAAAAGAAATAGAAGATTATAGACAACATTAATTGTTAGTATTTATTGAATTCCTACCACATAGCCGGCAACTGGAGTAGATAAAGAAAGAAGATTAAGAGAGAAGGGCATAAAATGAAAACATATAGTAGAGTGAAGAAATAACTATTTATTGGTCAAAAGATTAGAATTAACATGGAAAGAAGGCAAGAGAGAATTTAAAAGAAATTTTGAAAGCGTATGTTCAAATTAGTCAAATAAAATAGTTTAAGAAATTATATTTAACGTATTTTATAACTTTATCTTTCAACATTTCTCTTTTGACATTAAAACTCCTGGTGGATAGGCATTATGCTTCTGGATTTACTCTGATGGCATGAAAATGATGGTGAAACCATAGGTGGAAAATGAAAAGTGATGTGTGTCAGGCAATTTCAGTCCATCAAAATATGTAAAATTGAGAATTTGGTTGTAAGACTCCGTGGAATGCTGATCAATCGGCATTAGCCTCTAAAGCCATCTGCGTGTCAGTGGCAAATGTCCACCAGCTGTGCCAACATTCTTTGGGTACAGGAGTCTGACTTGACCAACAGGAGAAGCATCGATCCTGAGGAATATGAGAAACTAGCTTCCTAATGAGGCTGATTTTTTCTTCACCAATTGTATATCACATATGTTTCAGCATTTCAATAATGTAGGAAGGTCTTTATTCATTGCCACAGGGTATTGTATTTTCATTTCCCTATGCAATACTGACATCTAGAGGAACTTTGAACTAAAGAGTTTCCAAAAAACAATTTGCATTTCTCCTTTTCTGTTTCTGGACAGCAACTTCAATATGAAGAGTTTTTACTTTGTGCTTCCAAGTTATGGGCAGAAGTTGCTAAAATAGAAAGCACAAGTCTGTAGAAACATCTAGTTTGTTGTCTAAAATGGAATATATTTTCTACTGATTAAAGAGGACAGGACAGTGCTGTTAAGCATGATGTTCCTGAAAGGATTCCCCTCACCCTCTGCTTAGGGATCAAAATCATGTCAGAGATTGTTTCCTCTGCTGAATTCATGCCAATGACCAAGACGAGCACAAAGGCTTCATTTCAAGCAAACTCACTCACTTATTCATTCGCTGAATAAATACTTAGATATTTGCACATGGGTTCCTTTTGGGACCATTTATCCATGCCTTTTATAATAATACATCAGTGAATTTAGAATGGCGTAAGGAAGAAAGAGTCTTGGCCCAAATGTCCAAGTATTCAGTGCACAGTTCTGCTCTCTGCCCTCTCTGTCCAGTGCCCGACGCCGGCGTCCTAAGTGGGACTGTGTCCCCAGAGCGAGTAGAAGGCAGTCTTCAGAGAGCAGGAAGGAAATGTTAGAACTCATTTCTGTTCATTTTCCATTCCTTCAAAACTTATATTTTACATATGTTTTAAAATATGTATTAATGAAATTGGACACATATATAATTTATAAGTATCTATAATATATTAAATGTTATTTACAAAAATAAATATACATGTATAATTATTTATCAATGTATACAACTTGTAAATAAACATGTTGGGATGATGCTTAAAAATATTTTACTGATGGCAGTGCAAAATCAAAATAATTTGGAGACGATTCTTCCAGATAACACTATGTTTCACATTCTGATTTCCTGAAATATGTGTTTTAGAAGAATCATTTGAATTAGTGGGTTCAAGGGCAAGTACATAATTAGAACTATCGGCTCAATTCTAGCAAACTCTTTTTCTCCTTCTACAAAATACTGCTTTTAAGAGGTTAAGATTCATTCCTGAAGTGATTTTTTTGACAATTTAAACCAATTGTATGCACTTTATACTCTTGTCTTGGTTATAGACTCACTTACTGCCGTAGAGTCAAGACCCGAAGAGGACGGCAACGTCAAATCCACAGAGTGTGCCTGGCTGCCCGGGTCCAGGGGCTCACTCTCACCGTCCACTCCAAGCCTGCCCCAGTCCTACACTACAGCTCTACTTGTCCTGAAAGTGGTGGAGTAACCAAAAGGGACATTCATTGAATTGAACAACTTTGCTTTTCCTTTTTCATTCCCGTTCAATAAAAATCAGTTAAAAAAAAATCAACCCTAAAATGGACTTCACTTTAAAAGAACAGAAAGGCTAAGAGCATTGCCCCTTCTCTGGACCTCTGAAATGCAGAGCTCATTTTCCAGGTTATTACACCGTCTGTTGACATGGCTGTCCCCCCAACTGGGATATGGACCAATCTCTTCACCTTTATCCCCTCGGCACCACACAGGGGGTCAGGGTTCTAAAAATGATGGTGACCCCATGTGCAATGAAGGAAGGTGCTCTCAGGACTGATGCTCTTCTTGAGAGAACATTCTTGCATCAGACTACAGCACTGAAAAGCCAGCCTACCCCGGGCGCCGCCTGAAATGCATTGCTGTCACTGACTCTCATGTTCTCTGCATCACATCACGTCACTTACGTGATATCCACAGCCCTGCGTTTTGGGATCATCGTTGCTACAGAAGATTGTTTTCTTAACATCACAGTGGGACATGACTAGACTAACTACATACCCTGAGCTGAGGGCTTTTCATATTACTGCTTAACGGAGATGCCAAGATGAACAATTTTAGGTAATTTTAACCTAATGCCTAGAAACATAAAAACAATATTAAAACGATTTATAATGACTTTGTTAAAGTTTGATTAAGCTCCTTCTGGGGGAGAGAAACAAAACAGAGCTTGAAGGAATACATAGAGAAAGTCTACACATAGAGAAGAAGTCACCTCTTCTGTGGTCTGTGGGGACTGGCGTGGAGTAAGGCTGGCCCAGATCTGACTGCCCAAATCCAGGAAGGGAAAGTGTTCGCCTTAACCTCAGAACTCAGTACATGCACCCTCCCCAGGCTGCTGGAAGCATCAAGTGTCATCAAACAGTCACCTGAGAAAACACCCGAGCCAGGACGTTAAAGGCTTTGGAGGCACCCACAGTGACGTTGACAGTGCTTCATTCAGAATCCAGGTAAACGGGACTTCTCGGGGATATATCAAGAAGGGGCCTGAAATTAAAACTGCTGATTCAGGAACGTCCAATTGGACCATCTGCCAAGTAAAGATACGTGGATAATTTCACTTTCATTCGATTATAAGATATATTGGGCAGTACCATAAAAAAAGAGTGCTACCACATGTAACAGCCTCCCGCAGCAAGAAAAGACTGAATAGAGAAGAGCACGGTCAAATGTGCCCTCCCAGGCCATCCCTTATTGACAACAGACTTAGTTTAAATACACTGTCAGGCTTTCTTATCCTGACAACCCCTTGCTAGAGCCAAGACCATGTGGGCCGCGTGTTTGATCGTGAGGAGGTGTGACAAGGCCAAGAAGAGATC